GCGCGTAAGGGAGCTCACCGGGCCGGTCACGGGCACAGCTCGGGGAAGCGCTGCCCTGGAGACCGTCGCAGTGCCTTTGGTGATTTGGTTTATTAGGCCACAGCCTGTTACAAGCACAAGAACGTCAGAGAGAAGCGACGGGTTAGGGGAAAAGACAGAAAGACCGCGAGGCTAATGAGCACGGGGCAAAAATCTCATTAGGCGGTAAAGTGCCGGCCAGCGGCCCCGCCTGCTTTAGGGTCAACAGGGCGTAACCCAGAGCAGTCACTACTGTTCACGCTGACGCCGCGGATTGATCCGGAAGTTGTCATTCTACCTGGCAGTCTTGAACTGCTTGATTTTTCGTAATGTAATTGTGGCTTAACTACAATGCTATTGAAGAACGACGTCATCTATAAAAATAAACATACCTTATAGAAGAGCATGAGTTCACAGACAGGCAAGCCTGAACCCAGGTCCACCTCTGTCTGCTTATCTGTCTAGTCATCAGATCTAGCGTGCAGAGAATGCCCACCTCCTTAGGTTCTTGTGGGGATTAAATGAAATGCTATAAAGCACCAAGCATACTGATGGCACTTGTAGCTCAATTAAGTGGTAGCCACTATTAAAGAAAATAGGCCCAGATAACTTGCTCTATTTAGGCACAGCTGAATGTATTTGTGACTCATTCAGGTATGTAATAAAAATAGCATGTCTCTATATATAGCAATTGACATTTTTTAAGTGGAGTCACATAGATTTCTCATTTGAGTCTTACAGAAATCTTGGGAGATAGACAGGTATGGAGCACCTAGCAGTGATTTTGAATATACTTAGGTGTTCATTAAATATTATTTATGAATAAATGAATACTCTTCATTACAGGGGATCTGTTCCTGAAAGGGAAAGTATTAACCTCCTCCTGAAGGAATTAAAGTATCATCATTGAAGTAAGAAAGGACACAAAGGGAACCCTGCTTTGTGGCCTCCTCCATGAAGAAATTCACCACCTTATATAACTGTGAATTTTCCACTCTTCACACCAGAAAAAAGGCAGTCCTCACATTCAGGTGTTACAAGTTCCCAAAGATCAAACATTGCCTGGGACTAAAACTAAAATTAGGGCACGTAGTAACCCATGAAAGCCTGGAACAGGTGCTCAGTAAATACTTGCTGAACTGAGCAAAGAGGGTTTACTATCTCCTTTTTAAATTGGAATTGTTTATAATTTTGACAACTGGAAACTCCCTCACTGCTGTATAAGACACCAGAGCTATTTAATTCATTTGCAACAGCTAGTACAGCCCAGTGTTTAAGTAAGTGTTTCAACCTATTTGTTTAATTTCAAAAAGTAATTGACATTTAGTTAATTGTATTAATGTGAATGTTTTAAGCCATTTTCTCTGCCTTGTGAGCCAGTCTGTTACAGGGTCTCCTTTCGACTCTGAACTGGTTGAAGGCTGCGATCAAGTAACGACAGTCAAGACACCTCTGTGCCTTTCTCTTCCCTGAAGTGAGCCGGGATGGAGGGCAGCTTCCCCAGACCCAGGCTGTGCCTTGTCTTCCACACTGTTTTCCCTGATGCGCTCATTGCGCTTTGTGCAACAAAGACTCTGAGGTGGAGAGAGATGCCTGGCAGAGGCTGCCCAGCTCTGTCCTGGCTCCTGCGACCCCTGACATCCCACATTAATAGAAACTAGAAACAAGCCACTGTGCATAGCAGGAGTGGATTCACGTAACGTTGTTTCTGACTCCTTCCCTCAGGCGTGGCCCTACTCACTTTCCTTCTGTCAGTCATCCACCACCCCCTTAAAATTAGTCAGGATGGTAAACTGTCCTCTGTCAGATTCATCAGCAATGAAAGATTCGACCTTCTTGTCTCTTACAGCAGTTCTAGGCAAACCTCCTGTTTTGTAAAGCCATTTGTAATTCTACCTCGTGTGAGTGGCTTAGTGTTGCTGATGAATGAATTTGAATAAATGCTTCTGACGCAGGTTGTTTTAAGGTTCCGTGCCTCACTGCATTTTGGAGATAGATTATGTGTGTGTGTGTACATAACACATACACAGGAATATATGGGCACCTGGGAATAAGCTGCTTGTTCTCAGTGAGGCATAATATTTCCATTAAGCCTTTCCCTTCTTCATCCATGAAAATAAAGAAATGGACCATATAAAGGGAAGGTGTTGGTGGCCAAGGGGAGATTGCTAATTCTTTTCCATGATATGGCCTCTGTGTGAAAGCGGGGGTGGGGGGGGGTTTACACAATGTTCCTGGAGTCCTGCATTAAGCTACTATGTGGTAATTTGAAAAGCTGGTGCACAGTTTTTTATTTTGGCATTGTCTACTGCCCAGGAGATGAATTTTAAGTTAGATCCACTTTGGCTGCACCCAACACCTCCCCCCACCCCCCACCCCCGTTCTGGAGAGTGCCAGCCGTTGATTTAAACTGCAGACAAACATAGCATGGCATTGTTCACCAGCAACACATTGTCCACCCGGTTAATACTAGTTATGTCCAAATGAGGGAGGTTCTTGCCAACTTCTTTCCTCTGCTACCTTCTTTTTCTGGGTGGAAGAGACCAGAAATATCAAAAGGTAATTTCAAAAGTTCATCAAAAAAAGGAGAAGCCCCAAAAGCTGCAAGGACTCAGAATGCACCCTTCTCCAAAGTGTAAAGTATAAATAAATTCTAGATCCAGTTCCTAGGAAGACTCATAGCTGAGACGAAAGCCTGGCGACTTCCCAGTTTGCAATTGGGTATAAAAATAGCAGAGTTTCTATTTCAGGTGATCTGATTCTCCCCAGGATTCTTAAGGACAAGGAAGCACTGAGTGGACATTTTGATGTTTCATTCTTTGCTTTGGAAAATCTATCATGGCAAAACCTATGATGGCTATTTATCTTTGGGTTTTGTTTTGCTCCAGCACTCATGCTCTGCAAAAGAAAAATGATGTTGAAATCACTCTTGCAAGTCAAAGGTTCATATATAATAGGCCACAGAAATATATTGCCAATTTGCTATTTTTCTAGGAGATTCATAGATTATAAAAGAGACATCATACCACTACGCACCATAAGAGGAAGGCTACTTGCAAGACTTTTTAAAGTTATACTGATGAAGCCTGTTTAGACTTCAGCAAACCCTTGTGCCTTATTACATACAGTCAGCAAGACAGGCTAGTCCCCTGCTACCATGAGCCTTTCAATTTGAGGCTTCTCTCGATTCCTATGAGTGACTTTGAGTAGCTCAAATCAATCTAGCAAGGACACAGCAAGGTGTAGAGATTACAAGTGAAACTGCATGCACCTCTGGGAAGGGTCAGATCGGGCATGGGGGACCTGAAGTTTGTAAACTTAAGGATCCTCTTACAGAAAAGAAAAAAACTTGCAAAATTAGATCCCAAAGTGAATATTTAGAATGATAAAGATAGCAATTTACTGAAGCCTTGGTAATGCAGATCCCTTTTTTTCTGAGATATCTTCAGGCAATTACCAGACATGCTTAATAAAAGCGCTTCTGACCCCAGCCCGCCTGCCCCTCCCAGCACCCCCAGCTCCCACAGGGACCTGTTAAAGGAGGGGCCCCCGAAGCTCAGCCTCATCAGCGTCAAGGAAAATCCGCCTCTGCCTCTCCCAACTCTAATCCCTTCATCTGTAAGTGACGCGTTGTGGGGATTACAGGAAACGCTGTACGTCAGGCAGTTAGCATAGCACCTGGTGCGCATGCCTGGTAAGTATCCGCTAAA